CCTCCTGTTTTTTTTCTGATGGGGAACTGGGCCTTTTTATTTGGAGTGGGAAAAGTCGTATTCCTGCTGTCTCCGTTAATTGAAAGCTGCAAGGGCTCCCCCTCGTGTTACCGCGGGACAGGACCAGCATTGCTGCGTCTTTATCCTTGAAGGCTGCCAGTGAAATGGGTGCATCCCACACCCTTGTGCACCCCATCGTGCGAGTCATGCAGGAACACCAGAGGTCCGAAGAAGTCTTCCTTCAGTTGAACAAAGGAAGGCAGGAAGGCAGCAACACCGACATAGCAGGCATCTGTTTCGTACAGACTGAGAACTGTCATGCACACTGAAGCTTCATGACTCTTAGAAGCATTTGCTGTGAGTCTGAACAAGGGTGCAAGGGCTTAGGGAACTAGGGAAACTAGAACTGCTACTGCTCAGGAGAGCATCTCCAGTGCTGCCAGGTGGAAGAGGATCTTGGTAAGCTCTCAAGCAGCCTTAGCAAATAGGCAATGAGATCTTGATCACAGCATGTCTTATTTATTTGGACCAATAAATTGCCAAATATTCACCATCAGAGCTGATCCACAACAGTGTAAAAATCTGAATCTCCCTTAAGTTGCACAGGTGCTGGGGCATGTCCAGAGAACAGCAATGCAGCTGGTGAAGGGTCTGGAGCACAAGTCTTACAGGAGCGGCTGAGGGAGCTGCAGTTGTTTAGCCTGAAGAAAAGGATGCTCAGGGGAGACCTTATTACTCTCTACAACTGCCTGAAAGGAGGCTGTAGCAAAGTGGGGGTCAGTCTCTCCTCCCAAGTAACAAGATGAGAGGTAATGGCCTCAAGTTGCACTAAGGGAGGTTTAGATTGGATATCAGGAAAAATTTCTTCACTGCAAGGATGTTCAGGCCTTGGAACAGGCTGCCTAGGGAAGTGATGGAGTCACCATCCCTGAAGTGTTCAAAAGACATTTGGCTGTGGCACTTGAGGACATGGTTTAGTGGTGAAGAAAGTGGTTCTGGGTTAACGGCTGGACTAGGTGATCTTAGAGGTCTTTTCCAACCTTAATGATCCTGTGACAGGGCCATCTTGTTGGGAAATTAGTTTTGCAATCCAAAGCAAGGGAAACATCCTTTTTACTGTTTGTCCCCCTACCTCCTCCCACAGGGTGATCAGGATTGCTAGCTAATCTCCACTTAGTCTTAAACTCATTAATTCTGTCACCAGCTCTTTCAGTGTCCCATGGTTTCCATCGTTCTGTGCCAAGAATCCTGCCCTAAAATACTGAGTATGTGGAAGTCACTGTGGCACACCCTTCACACCTGCAGATATGGGCTGCTGTGCTGTGGGTGTGCGAACGATAGTACAAAGCTATGCTTAAATCTGTAAAGCTGGGTACAGTGGGAAGCTTATGAGTAATGGATATGCAATGCACAGTGTCTTCACAGCTGATGAAATTCCAATTTTCACTAAACAGCTGGGCAAGTTCAAGCCTCCCGTTTTCCTCCTGCACTTTCATTATTCGTATTTATCTTGAAAGTCACCACAGGATAGCAAAAAACCAAGACTTTCACATACCTGTAAATGCCTAAACACTTCCACTATACAGTTTCTCTTATAGTATCAAAAGTAATATATCCAAACCACATCTGAGTTTTCTAAAGACTGTTTGAAACGTGTGGTCCTTGCCTGTCTGCATCTGTCTCACGAGCCTTTCCACATCCTTCTGAAAAACTAATTACCTGTAAAACACACGCAGGCATTTCCCTCACTTGAGCCCTTCAACACGGCCTAAGAGTTTTGGGGAGTCCAGCAGCAGTTGTGGGTCTGTGTGCAAAAGGCATCACTGGAAATCAATAGACCACTTGTAGCAATGAAGGGCATCCTGTGACTTGCCCATTTTGCACTGTCACGCGCCAAAACCTATTACATCAAATGCACTGACAACTCACGGACCTTGCAAGGAGTCTCATGTTTTATTTATAGTGGGTGATGGTGAGCATCTGTGGCAGTTTTTATGCTGTGCTGGCATTAAGCTGCTACAATACACTGAGCGCGCCACCTTCTCGTGGATGTTTTGAAAGAGATGAGTAACGGCGAATGTCACAGCTGTCATAAGTGAATGTCACAGCTGTCATAAATTATGTGGTCATTGTCCCCTTCAATAACTTACCTGAGTCTTGAAAAACAAAAGGAGACATCCAAGTTCTGCAAATGTGATTGAGAAACCGGAGTTACTGAAGGTCTGCTGTGTATCTATAGATTTACTTAGCTATGGTGAATGTAAGTTGTGGTGGAAAACTACCACAAGAATAACTTTAATGAAGGTAAGTCTGCACTGGGAGTAAAATACATGGATTATGGAAGAAAATTTCCATTCAGAGTGTTCTTTAGTACTCTAATCCCTGTATGTATTCTCATCAATTTAAAGCAGTTTCCCATGTAAACTGAGATCCCAGGTTTTCATAACACTAAGCCTTGAATTCAGTTTCTGCTGTTGCACAACTTGTTTGTGTCCCTAGTTGTTTCTGCACTTTGGATATACTCAAATACTTCTGAAGAACTAATGGAAAAAGCTTAAACTCTGATAAAATGTAATATGGTCTAGGAATGTTTTCTTAAACTCACTAAGAAAATAGGAATGCTCCTTGTTTGTGCTTACCCAAAAATTTCCTTTCTGCGGATGATTACAGAGGTCCTTCCTCCTTACAGCTGCTCTGTAGCAGGACAGCAATACCCTAATACATGCAGATCCTACAGCAGCACCAGATTTACAGTTTCAGATACATGAATTATTTGGGAAATATAAAGGTTATGTTAAGCTTATTTGGAGGAGTAAAATATCTTATTTTCTCTCTGGCCTCGCCCCCCACAGTCTTGCCTTTCCCATTGGAATAAGACCCCTGTGTCTTTGGATGCTGATTTGCTCTGTTTTGGACAAGATTTCCCCCAGACCGAACTATTTTATGAAACATTGTTTGAATAAAAGAGACATCCAGGAAAATGGGTGCTCAAAGGTACACAACCCAGCATGATGAAATTTTCATGGTACCATCAGGGGGCTGGATTCTTCTCCCTTTCTTTCCTCCTCAGGGTTAGGGCATGGAGACACATTTTTTCAGAAAGAGACTGTTTTTCTCCAAGGCTCTTCTGCAGAGAGGGGGGTCCCTCTGTGGATAGCTAATGGATCGGGGGCTCAGCTGGTTGCTTTTTTCTCTGACTGACTAAAGCTGTTTGCTCCTGCATTGAAGCAGACTGGTGAAAATTGATGGTTCAAATCCAAAGGGGCTGTCTGAGAGTCTCAAAGGTAACTGAGATATATGAGCTACTCAACTCAGCACAGCACCTTGCACCAGTGACCCATCATCTGCAGTGGGGCTTTTCTGCTGCCAGGCAGCTCCAGTTCACCCTGCAACCTGTATCCATTTCTTAGCATCTCCAGGGACGCTGGACATTTTATTCCTCTTTTTGAAGGTTCAGAATAGGCTTGATGTGCCAGAAGGCTTCTTTCTGTACCCAACGCTTTGCGGTTGAGAGATGCCATGCTGTCTACCCACAGGGCAACCTCTCAGAGAAGTGCAGGTTTGACTTTCACTGCTATCACTGTTTCCCTCGCAGCAGGTGATAAGCTGATGGTGGTCACAGTGGACAAGCTGAATACAACCTGAGGATCCCCCTTACCAAAGAAGGACTGAGGGCAATGATTACGTGCAGTCCTTTGTTTGCAGGTGAAACTGGGCTGTGAGGGGCTGCTTCAAAGAAACAGGTGAGTTTGTTTTCAGTGCTAACCCTGAAGGTTGCATGCAGGCAATGCATACCTGTGTGCATGGGGCGGGCAGCAGGGAAAGGCTAAAAGAAGTGGTAGGGCTGACAGGAACCATCTCCCCTACCTTTGTTTACTGGTCCAAATGTGTATTATTGTCCCATACTAACTGCCAGTTGCTGCTCAGAGGTGGTGATGGGGTACAGCCACTTGCAGCAGGAGGTGGGAAGCCTGGTTTGCTCTGGAGGGCAGGACCACCTGCAAGGCCTTAGTCATATGAGTGTGCCAGAAAATCTCTGCTCTTGTATTACACCTTCCCAGCTCCCACAGTAAAGATTTTCAAGTTGGCTATAGGATACCAAGCATGGCCTTGTTACAGTTGGGAAGAAGAGTGTTTTGGATTACTCTGATGGTATTTGGCTTGTCCTTCACCCCAAGACATAGGAAAGCTTCTTTTTTCCTGCCTTTTGAGAAGTATTTCTGGGATTTTTCCCTCTCTTCTCCTATACTTCTCCCTGTGAAGGTGAATGGAGGAAACAGTACTGATGTTTATTTCCTCCTCACAATTATTTCCTAATGATCTTTCTTCATGGTGTTAGGGAAGAAACAAATTCAAGGCACAAAGCTCTCAAGAAGACAACAATCACCGGGTGGTGGTTTTCTTTGTGGTCCCTCTGCATTTCAGGACCTCAGCAAGTTTGTGGATGACATCAAGCTTACTGGTGTAGTTGCTTGAGGGAAGGGATGTCACCCCCAGTTACCTCTCAGGGTCTCAAGGCCTGAGGAGTTGGCCAGTGTGAACCTTACAGGGTTGGAACAAGGCAAGTGTATGGGCTCGGGCAATCACCAGTATCAGTAGACTGTGTGATGAAGGGATCGAGAGCAGCCTTGTGGATAAGGATATGGTGGTACTGGTGCATAAAAAACTGGATTTGAACTGGCAATGTGCCCTTACAGCCCAGAAAGCCAATTGCATCCTGTGTGGCCAGCAGGTCAAGGGATTCTCTCCTTCTGCTCCATTCTGGTGAGACCCCACCTGGGTACTGTATCCAGCTCTGGGGTCTGCAACATCATAAGGACATGTCAGAGCATGCCAGACATCCCTGCAACAGGCTTCCCAGCCAATTACAGCATACCAGTCTAGAAATCAGTCTTAATTTCTTGACTCTATCACAACTGTGAGTCACAGCAAGTTTGGAAAAACTCTTTATTCCTATCTCTTCATAAGCATAATAATGCTCTAGAGCTTGTTGGTGTTCACAGTGTTAAATGTATGTTTAAGGTATTATATAAATTATACTTATTGTAAAGGCTCACGTAATCACTTCTAATCAGAACCATAACATTTTCTTGTTTGGCTTACATTACCTCAAACATAACCCTTTGAGATCTCTGTGTGTGTGTATGTATATGTATATATGAAGTATACAATAAATAAGCTCTACTATGGTTCAAAAGAGCCTCATCTGGGCAGTGGCTATGAGCCAGACAAAACTGTGAGAACAGCCAGAATCAAAATTGTTTCTTCCCACCCCCCCCCCCAAAGCTGACAAACCTTATACACTTAAAGAGCAGCCTTCTTTTTCTCACTCCCTCATCTATGAAGACCAGTGATCTATTTCATCTGCCTCAAACAAAGGATTCTTGAAAGATGTTCTCTTAAATTTATTTTCTCATCCCTAGGGCATACAATTACTTCTGTTCACTCAAGCTTTGCCTGTTTAGATATTGGAAGGACACATGTACTTTCTGTCACTGTTATAGCATTCCCACGGCAGCCAGCATGTTCCCGACTTGGGCTCTACCCACCACCGGCTGTGGAGTCAGCAAGCCAAACCTTGTTTAGGGGGTTACAGAAGCAAATGGTATCTTTACTAAGCTGATACTCGACCAATGTGTTCTGAACTCTCGGGTTCTGATCTACGCTCAGTGAGATGGGAAAATACAGCAGGAAACTGGATAAGGACCAAAATGCTGCCTTTGACATTGCAGCTAGTTCCTCCCGGCAGCATTCCTCGGGGAGCACGTGATCGGTATGTGTCAAGCCCTGTGACTCAAAAGATAAAACGCTTCACTAGCCCAAGCAAAACAGGTCACAAATGTAACCTCAGACACAATTCAGAAAAGCAGTCAAGTGTCCTTTGCTTTGTGAGCACTGTAGCATAAGTCAACAGGATGCACAACAGGCACAGGATCTGTTGAAGGCTGCCCATCCTAACTCTGTATTCAATTCCTTATGCCATAGGAGAGGAAAGGAAATGGTTGTTAGCACAAGTTTGGCATCAGTGCAGTTGTAACCTGTTAAACCTGTAACCTGTTTGGATTTGCTCTGTGCAGGATGAAAACATTACAATCACAAACACATTTTACCTACAGGAGTCCAGCTTGAGAGACCAGTGCAAAAAAACCTTGTTAAAACAAGTCACTCAATCTTAATTTTATTACATCATGTTATAGCTGTGTAGTTACATTTGGTGATTCTATACATGCTTCAGCACCTTGTAGGGAGATACATTGTGGGCTGGTCTCCTGTTTGCCATGTGACACCCAGTGTCCCTCCCTGGTTGAAGCCCCAGCTCTCTGGCACAGTCCCAGAGCCGACTTCACACTAACGTGGCGAGAGCCTGGATGTTGTGGGAGCTTTCAGAGGTCCTGTGAACAGTATGGTGGTTTATGATGCTTCTGTCCTGAACACTGACTTTGGGGCTGTGCTGAGCCTTGGCCACATGGCTCTGGAAGGCTCTAACAGTTCGGACAGCACGGATGCAGACCACAAAGCTGGCAAAGTACAAGCAGGAGGCAACAGCACCGAAAAGGCCCACGGCCGCGTCGCCACCCTGGACCACGCAGTTCATGGAGGTGTAGCCGCGGCGCGCGTACAGCCTCTCACGCCTCTTGCAAACTTCTGTGGAGTTCACCTGGCTGACAAAATGCAGGTAGAGGCCCACTGCCACAATGTACGCTGTGCCAGCCAGCAGGTTGAAGGCACACTCGCCTACCAGCAGCCCTGTCCTGAGCTGCTGGATGGGCTTTGCCCCCACGATGAGGAAGACAAGGGTAAGTACTGCTGCTGTTAAGCTGAAGGCTACGCCGCCATACACACAAGGAGCTCTCATCTGGGTGATCTGCATGTCCAGCTCCCTCACCTCCTGGAGCTCTGTGCCCTCAAAGGGGCTATAGGCTGAATTCAGGCTAAAGGATCCAAAGCCTCCAAGGGATGTGAAGCCTGCAACAGAGGCTTGGGAAGCTCCCACACAAATCAACACCAGGAGGTTAACCGTGATTTCCACAAACTTCAAAATGCCTGTAAGGAGCAGAAAGAAGGGAGTAGGTGTCAAAGCCACATCTTCTGCACGGACTGTGGGTGACAGAAGCACACCAAAAACATGGACAGAGAGCGCTAGTACTGAGAGAATCCTCTTAGCTACAGCTACAGAAGAGTACTGCTTTTAGAAAAAAAACCAAAGCAAACCAAACAACAAAGAAGCCTGAACTCTCATGGACATTTCAGAAGTTGGGCAAATTACTTTTTTTAATTTGTCACTGTGCCTGATAGATGGATCTTCATCCAGGGAAAAAAGAAAATAAAAATTTTACCGTGCTTGCGTTATTGCCAAGGCAAGTGCACAGTGACTGTATTTTGGCCTGTAACTACTTGGCATAAACACACTGAGCAAGAAATATCCAGTATGAACAAAATGCTGAGGTTAAAGCTGACAAAACCCCAGAAGTTTCTAATGACTTGAAAAATTGTGCAAGTTATTTAGGTCCTTTAAAATGTTTACTGCTTTAGCTTACACCCTCTTTTTGTCTAAGTGTCTGTTAATTTAAAGGTATTATCTAACCAGATATAACTTGCACTTCATCTCCTTCAGAGGCAAAAATCTCTTCATAAATCTGACGAAGCAGTTCCTGATCGCACAAAAAAAAAAAAAAAAGGAAAAAAAGAAGGTGAAAGAGGCAAAAACCACCTTATATGTGAAGATCAGTGAATTTGATACTAGGTCATGTGTTCTCTTCCACACCTGCACATTCAGAAGAAAGCCTTATCTGATTATTCTGTGACAGCTCACTAGGGGTCAGACTAAGATTAGTAAACATGACGGATATTGAAGTGTAGCATAGATAGAGCTGCCTACTGGGGAAATGAAAACCCCTATCATGCCAGGCTCATTGCTCCAAAGTTCTGAAGTTAGTTACAGAATTGTGAATCTTATTATTCTGTTGCTGTCTGACAGCCAAGAATGTTAGATGCTCAACACAGTGGTCCTATATTTGTCTTTAAAGTGGGGCGGGATCTGTGATTTGCATACAGACTTTCATTTTATGCTGCTAACATTGATCCACACGGCACTTTCCTCATGAGCAATGGCTCAGTTGCTGTCAAGGCTGTATGGGCTTGAAAAGAAAGGGCTGAAGCAGAGCAGCAACACAAGGGAATTAAACAAATTTCTCTCTTGTGTTGCCAGATGCTTCCAACCAAAGAAAACCAGTGACAGCCACCGTGAAGGATTATCGGATATTCCCACTCTGCCTCTTCTTGCTCCCTCCACAGAGTGTTGAGGTAATGAGCCCTTTCCTGCTGCTGCTTGCTTGGCACAAGAAAGTACTTGTGGCTGTTTGACAAGGGCCTCTGCCCACTTCAGGATCTCCTGCTTCCCCGTGTATCCAGGCTGGTCCCCTTACTTCTGCTAACGCAGCTGTAGGTCAGTACTGAGCCCATTCACATCACGGCCTTGAAAACCATCCCAGAAGCACAAAGGGGAGCAATGATAATGGTGGTAATACCTAGGAATAGAGTAACTGAAACATGTTTCAGTCTGCTTGTATATGTATATACAAGTGTATATGTACACAGATTTCACCTAAAAAGATTTAGGTAGAGAAGGCAGAGCAGAAAAAATGCTCTTTTTCAAGAGGAACTAAGTGTGCAGTGTATGTATGTGTTCTTCAGAGGTGATGCTGATTTCTGCATGACAATGTGCCTCTTCTTTGACCCTTCTGCACAACAATTTCTGTGAATCAGGGCAATAACTGTGCTAGTCACTAAATCTGTTCAGGAGCTTCAAATAATTCAAAGGAAAATATCTGTGGAGCTAAATGAAAAGCGAAATTTGAATCTTGGTCCATGAGTGAAGATTTGAAACTCTTTGTACCAACTGCAAACAATGCAGCCAAAAGATTCAATATTTTGTAGTAGATACAGAGTCATTGCTTTACAAGGACTGTTCGTAGTATTTTGAAAGAGTAGTGTGTATACAGGACATTAACTGGAACTCAATCAGATTTTTTTTGTCTGTTCAGTTGATTTGTATGTTGTACCTTCCAAATACAGGGAGTCAGCTTAGATACTCAGGGCCCTTGGATGGTGTTGGATGCAGAAAGGCACTTCCCTTTTTAAAGGCTGACTACTTGATTTCATAGATACTCCATCAGGAAGCAGTTCTTACAAGTCTACAGGGAGGAAAGACCATTTGATTAAGGGAAACATAAATTTTAAGTATGTTTGGGAACTTGGTAGTTGGGAATTCATGACCAGTCAGCTTTCTTCTACTGCTGACTTCAGAATTTCCTCTTCGTCTATGACTACTGAGGCCCTCTGACCTACTGAGCATCAACATTTCCTGTACATCACCTTGCTGAGCTTTAGAAATGGCAATTTTCTGCTGTCAAAGTAGTCATCACCTGTTACTAACCTCCCCTCATTTATAACTGACCCCAATCCTCAATGACACTGCTCCAAAACTTCTACATGTTCACACACGTTCTGTATGCAACCCCCTAACTTCACTGAGCTGACTGTTAATGGGACAACAAATATGATCATTGTAGGTCTACTGTATTTTTAACTGCAGCATTAGATGCTTTAATGGCATGCCTGAAAAATTTCCTTACACAGGGCATTCAGGTTGGACAGGTTTTGTATGCACCTGTACACTTGTCACACATGCCTGCTGTAGAATTGATTAGAGTAACTAAACAACAGAGAGAGGTTCATTAGCAGCTACTCCACCTGTTATTTTTATCACATGGATTTACTTTTTTTATTTTTTTTTAAAAGTGCAATAACAAAGACTCCTGTATTAAAGAAAATTCTAAAATGATAAGCAGTATGTAGAATGAATTACAGGTCTGCAATGACAGCCAGCAGTTTTTGTGAAAGTATCAGACAATTAGTGGAAATCCCTAAGGCCTTGTACAATCATCAGGGCTTTGATGGAAAATATTTTGGTCAGACCCCAAAAGCCTTGTGCAGCCTTGTTCTGTGACAGTTACAAGCTGATCCCAAATCCTACTATACTAGTATAAACAGGATAGACAGATTTGAGAAATAAGGAAATAAGAAATAAAAGGACAGTTAAGTTTTGAACCTTAGCTCTGCCAAAGTATTGTAACATACATCCTAGCAGTGACCTATGTCAAGCAGTGTACTGCTGGCAGAAAGGATTGAGTTACAAGCCATGCTTCTGAGTCAGTGCTGGCATTTCTGCTTTCAAAGGCCTGTTAACTATGTCATCTTAGAATTATACCTGCAGCAACTAGACTGCCAAAAGGTCTTCCTTCTGGGGAAGTTACTTATCTCTGCAATTATTCCGTAATCACACACAATAACAAATGCATTGCAAGATTTGAGTGTAAAATGACAGGTCTGAACATCTCCAAATTCCATTGGTTATTTTTTCTCCTTTCTCAAGTTCAAAATCTTTAGATGTACCTAAAATGTTACTCGTTTGTATTAAAATCAGCACAGTGAACAGCTGGCTTCAGGAACTAACCCTCTCCTTACTGAGCAAGTTACAAGACTCAAGTCAGGGCTCCTGGATTACTATTTCCTTTCCTATGCTTCTTTCCTGCACGCCTTTTCAGCACTGAAGGTGAGGAGAATGGCTGCAATCTAGAGGACAGTGGATGTTGCCAGAGTTTTCCAAAGAATTGTTTCATTCATTCCATAAAATCTAAACCTGCAGTGAATAGCAACTTTAATGTATCATACTTGTTAATTTTGCTTGAATCTGGTCATCTTTTGCTGTGAGTAGGCTTACTGCTATAACAAACAGCAGCCTTCTAATTTATACTGTTAATCTACTATTCACTTTTTCTTTCCTTTTCTTTTCCCTGCTGGGCTATTGCCATCATATTAACCTGCAGAACAATGTTTTTATCTTCTGTCAAATGGTGGGCTCAAACATGCAGCAAAGCAGCCAAGCAGGCTGGTAAGGGTACAGACCCACAGGCAGCTGACTTTAACAGCTCCTACTCTTGACTGGGCAGTCACTTTCTCCCCTACCTCCTCCAGCTTCACCTTAGGCCCTTCCAAGAGCTGTTTAAATAAATTAAAATAGCAGGAAACGATTCAACTCTCTTCTTATGTGGTGCTGTTTTTTTCTGCAACTTTAGCAACTTGAAGTGACTCAGAGTGTACCTGATGAGCAATTACATTGGCATGAGTTTAGCAGGGGAAATAACACAGCCAGGACCAGAGAAAGACCAGAAATTCTCCCCAGGTGAGCTGTTAAATCTGTATGCTCTGCCTCATAAAACTACACTGTGGCTGAATGTGTGGTACCCAGTAACTCAAGTCTGTGCTCAAGTCTCACACGTTAGAAGCTATAAAGAGGAATTTTCATCCAGGCACTGTGGCAGGATGGCCCTGATGTTCAGGTGTGGGGCTCATGGTTCATGTACACACATGTGCACATAAGATAAAATGGTCAATTCATGTTAATTCCTTTATTTCTGCAGCTCCTATAAATGAGTCTGCAGGACAGACAGTTCTGGCTGTTTCCTTTGAAAATCCCTGACCCCATCAGGGCCCAGCTAATAGAGGAGGCCTTCGAAGTGTCTCCCTCCACTGTGTCTGACACAGTAGTCACTGTCTTCCTCTGTTGACTGCACATGGACTCCCTCCTGTCTCTTTGGTATTATTCCCTCCTCTTCAGTGAACATGCCTGTGTACTTCTAAGATACTCTATCATTCTCCATTCTGGCTTGCTTTCTCCCTCTGCTTCCTTTGCAGACCACCTACCACTGGGACGAGTAGGACACAGCTGGCAGCCCTGTCAGTGTCTGGCTTTCCCTCTCAGGCACCTGGACCCCAGTTGCAGGGCTGGAGATACACAGGTCAGTGGTGCCCGTGTCACATCCCATTAGGGGTCGCTCCAGGAGAAGGGAAGAAAGGAGTTAGAAGCTACAAAATGTGGAAAATCATTCTCTCAGCTTTTTTTACTGAAAGTTCTCATTAGGTTTTCTTTTTTCCAGTTTGGGTAGCTTTCTGCTTTTCAGAGGTAATCTTCCTTTTTTTTT